GAGAGAGAGAGAGAGAGAGAGAGAGAGAAAGAGAGAGAGAGAGAGAGAGAGAGAGAGAGAGAGAGAGAGAGAGACAGAGAGAGAAGGATAAGGACATTGACTCGGTTAATGAGGTCTGAGTTGGTGCATAGAGAGAGAGGGAGAGGAACAGCGAGAGAGAGAAGGAGAGAGAGAGTGTGAGAGAGAGTCAGAAAGACAGAGAGACAGACAAAGAGCGACAAGGCGAGTGGTTTCATGACAAGCTCGACGTGACGATCGAGAACTCAGGAGGGAGAAGAGGTTGGTCATCGTCGTCAGAAATGATATATCTGGGTTTAGGTTTTAGGGTTTAGGGTTTAGGGTTCAAGAAAGGTTAATTATGAAATACGGCAAAAAATATGGGCAAAGTATTGTTTATGAAAGAAGACACTGGTGCGACACACAATTTTCAAATCCAACTTTAGGTTCTCGTCTAGCAATCCCCTTATGCTAACAGCCCTTAACAGGGATTTTCTACTCAGGGTGCTATAATCCCTACTAAGGGCTGTTGTAAGGGGAAACATCCCAATTCACGTCTACCATAGGTTGTCAGATCTGGTTCGTGTGTTTGTGATGGTTTGAGGAACTCTCCGGAGAGGCTTATCAGGGAAGCTGTGGCCTTTTCAAGTTTCCCTAAACCCTAAACCCTAAACCCCAAACACTAAACCCTAAACCCTAAACCCTAAACCCTAACCCCTAAACCCGAAACCCTAAATCCTAAACCCTTTTTGTTTGGAGCTCTCATCATAGCAGGGCATTCGGAAATGAAGGAAATTAGGCACCCTGAGCCCTATATAAACCCAAAGCCCGAAACCCAATATAGTCAACAACAGCTCGCAGCAATTCCAGGCTGGTTCTTAGTCGGTTCTATGCGATGATGTCGCCGAAGCCTGCGTGGGAACGCGATGAACCGGCGCAGCGGCTACGAACCGCTGTGGGTCAATCGGGCCTACGAATTCTCACGCTTCCGCATCGACAAGGAAGTGAAGGAATATGACGCATACCCTTTAAGGGGTTCTATAGGGCTCTAAACCCTAAACCCAAAACCCTAAGCCTTAAACCCTAAACCCTAAACCCTAGACCCTAAACCCTAGACCCTAAACCCTAAACCCTAAACCCATTCCCTGCTAAGAACCAGGGGGATTCCCGCAGTCGGAGGTCTCAATTCCTTGTAAACCTCTGATGTTTGGGGTCTGGGTTGAGGTTAAGGGTCCTCCAAACCCTAAACCCCGAACCCCTAAATCCCTAAACCCCTAAACCTTGGAGGTGAGCTCTATCACGTTTTTGAGGGGGTTCTTTACAGGGATTCTGTCAACTCTATTCGGGCCTATCTTGGGGCCATTTCAGTCTTATCTTTGGGCATTTCAATCTTATCCTGGGGGCATTTCAGCCTTATCTTGGGGCCATTTCAGCCTTATCTTGGGGCCATTTCAGCCTTATCTTGGGGCCATTTCAGCCTTATCTCGGCGCCCATTTCAATCTTATCCTGGGGCCATTTCAGCCTTATCTTGGGGGTCATGTTCCTGTCGTGGTCGTTCCTTATTCCGAGGCCTTTCCTTGAGGTGCTCGACGAGCCCTTAGAAGTCGCCAGACGAGCCCCAAAAACCCTTCCAAAACACGCCCTAAACGCCCCAAAAGCGCTCCGAAAACCAGTGTCAGGTAGGTAGATATTTCAGCCTTATCCGGGGCGGGGTAAGAGTGAAATCCGGGGCCGCGGGTAACAATGAAATCTCGAGCTCTTCTTGGGGGAACCCAGGATTTCAGCCTTATTTTCCCGGACAGATTTCAGCCTTATCCCCCCCCAAATAAGAGTGAAATTCTGACCGATATTTTTGCCATACCGGCACCGTTTCGGGAGCCAACTTTGGTGTGGATTTTGAGGTCATTGGCGGAGCCTTGGGCGATACAGGACCATGACTCGATTAGGTACTGTAGGATAAGGAGTGAAAGTGTACATGTGTGAAACAATAATGGCTTAAATCCCCATATATAAGAGTGAAATGCACCCCAAAATAAGATTGAAATCCCAAAAGATAAGAGTGAAATGAACCCCAGAATAAGATTGAAATCCCAAAAGATAAGAGTGAAATGAACCCCAAAATAAGATTGAAATCCCAAAAGATAAGAGTGAAATGAACCCAAATATAAGGCTGAAATTCCTGTAAAGGAAACGTGTTACAGCCCAGTCCCAACCTAAACCCCAAACCCCTAAACCCTGAACCCCAAACCCCTAAACCCTGAGCTTGTGTGTCTCCTTGCTCTCAGACGGCTTCAAAGTTCTGTTCGCAGTGAGATCGTAGTTCGCCTTGGTTTAGGGTTTAGGGTTTAGGGTTTAGGGTTTAGGGTGTGGGGTTTAGGGTTTAAGGTACCTCCAGGCCCTTCACCCGCCTTACCATCCACGGGGCCCAATTGCAGCAAAAGTAGGTTCGGGGCTCTCCAGCTAAACCCCGAACCTTACAGCCCTAAACCCGAAAAGTCTTCCCTAAACACTGCACTCTACACCCTAAAACCCCAAACCCCGCATAGCTGAACCCTGTACGGTAGGAGCCTTAACAATTAGAACAAGGTTTTGGGTGTTATCGTATAATTAACAGGGACCCTACGGGACTACTATGAGTAATTTTTCCGACCCCTAAACCCTAAACCCTAAACCCTAAACCCTAAACCCTAAACCCTAACCCCTACATTGCAGGCTTCGGTTTAGGATGTCGGGGCGAAGCTTTGAGCTCTGTTGAGGGGCGTGGTGCCGCTGCCCGTCGGAGAGTTTCCCGCCACCCTGCTGCGGCTCAGGGTTTAGGGTTTAGGGTTTAGGGTTTAGGGTTTAGGGTTTAGGGTTTGGGGTTTGGGGTTTAGGGTTTAGGGTTTAGGGTTTAGGATTTCGGGTTTCGGGTTTCGGGTTTAGGGTTCAGTGTTCAGGGTTCAGGGTTTAGGCTTTCTTGGGTTTAGGAGTTAGGGTGTATCACTTAGTCGAGTAAGTGACCGGGAACCTTTTTGTGGTGGGGAGGAGTCAGAGGGGTGAAGCAATATTCCCGTGTCGCATGTAATCTCCTCAGCATGACAAGCTTTAGCCTTTAGCCCCCTGGCAAGTAAAGAGCACACAAAACATCGCAACCAAGATAGGGACATATCAATCCTATTTCAACCCCGTCAATGTTTGAACCTACCCCAATCTCTGAAACCCTATACACGGGTAGTTCTCGAAATTAGAAATTCGAGTTTCTTTTGGGGTCGCTTTTATAAGGTGCAATACTATACCATTAGGGGACCCTAAAAAGGAACCTATTGTAGAGTACTACCCAAACCCTAAACCAAGATTGGACACCCGAAGCCCTGGACGTTAATATTATCCATACTTGGGCCTTAACGTACCCCCTATACAGGGACTTTAGGGCCCAAGTATGTAATAATGAGGTACATGGACCCTCAGGGATCCGGCTCGAAGTTGCTATGATACGCGGCGGAAACATGACTTTGAAGAGGACGTTTTCCAGTACCCGAACTGTCAGGGGGCTTCCCGCTTAAGCCAGCAGATAGGGTTTAGGGTTTAGGGTTATAGGTCTAAGGTTTAGAAGTCGGGGTTTAGGGTGGATTGTTTAGATTTCGGTTTGTGTGGTTTGTGAGTGAAGTGAGTGAGTGATCGAGCGAGTGGAGGTCGAGGAACCCAAAAAAAGGGTGCCCTTATTACAATATGGTTGCTGGGCTACCAAGTTGTGTACAACTCGAAAGATCCTGAGCACGAGCAGGCCGCCTAGAAGGAGCCTTTCTAGGCAAAATGGCCCTCGTGTCCCCGTAAACTACCCTAAGCCCGAAACCCGAAACCCGAAAACCCTAAACCCTAAGACCCTAAAACCCTAAAACCCGAAACCCCTAAACCCTAAACCCTAAACCCTAAACCCTTTTTGCTGGCTGAGATCCCGCTCATCAAGGCAGACTTCGCCTGGCTGGCAACCCAGCCCACCTTCCTGCCTCAGACGGGCTTAGGGTTTAGGGTTTAGGGTTTAGGGTTTAGGGTTTAGGGTTTAGGGTTTAGGGTTTAGGCCAAGGAGCCGAACCTTGCGTGGTTCACTGAGAGCGCAGGGGCCATTGGACCCCAACACGGTGGTGCTTGGTGTGGACGACCAGGTGCAGTTCGTGTTCTGTGGACAGGAGCTGCCCCCTCCTTCGCCACGCATCGTGTCGACACACTTCCAGCCACCAGTGACGGCACGCGTCCCAAGTAGGACGTCATCGGGCAGCGCATTCGGCCCTGCACGCTTTGGGCGCTGCCAACTGACCAGGAGTTCCGCTGGGCCTGGGCGAGGCACCGGGAGCACGCCCGCATGAGAAGAGCGACAAGCCACCTTTGCACTGAGGCCACAGGGAAACCCACCGCTTGTCAACTGGCATGATCTACCAGTGCCAAACGAGGCTTCAAGCGTTGTATTCACTGAACGTAAAAGGGTTTATGTCGAGAAGGGAGTAATTATCGTAGTATAGTTTGATCCCTAAAAAGCAGCCGCATAATTGAGCCTGCGAGAGCAATAGTCAGGGAAAGGGTTTAGGGTTTAGGGTTTAGGGTTTAGGGTTTAGGGTTTAGGGTTTAGGGTTTAGGGTTTAGGGTTTAGGGTTTAGTGTTTAGGGTTTAGGGTTTAGGGTTTAGGGTTTAGGGTTTAGGGTTTAGGGTTTAGGGTTTAGGGTTTAGGGTTTAGGGTTAGGGTTTAGGGTTTATAAGTTTAGGAACCAGCGCTGAAATCTCGCACCATCTGAGGCGGCGCCGCTGCCCGGAAACTTGCACCGTGTGGCGGCATGGCGCAGGTTGCCCGCGGTTTAGGGTTTAGGGTTTAGGGTTTAGGGTTTAGGGTTTGGGTTGCATTGCCTTGCTTGAAGAACTATATCCCAATTGGGAATTGTTTTTTGTTTATAAACAACCCAAGAGGATATTAAAAAAATGCTATTGTTATTCAGGTTCTACGGGGAGTATAGAGAAGAGATATGTGTGTGTGTGTGTGTGTGTGTGTGTGTCTGTGTGTCTGTGTGTCTGTGTGTCTGTGTGTCTGTGTGTCTGTGTGTCTGTGTGTCTGTGTGTCTGTGTGTCTGTGTGTTTGTGTGTCTGTGTGTCTGTGTGTCTGTGTGTCTGTGTGTCTGTGCGTCTGTGTGTCTGTGTGTCTGTGTGTCTGTGTGTCTGTGTGTGTGTGTGTGTGTTTTGGGACTACATGAACCCGTACCCCATACGGCCGTATAGGACTGGCCATGAAGGGTTCATCCAGTCCCAAAGGTATGGTGCTTCTAGGTCCTGAGGCACAGTGAGTGAATCAACAGTCTGGAACCCCCTAAGGCCCTCAAGTTCAACCCTAAATACCCGACGATTAGGGTTTAGGGTTTATATTGACTGCTTAGGGTTTAGGGTTTAGGGTTTAGGGTTTAGGGTTTAGGGTTTAGGGTTTAGGGTTTAGGGTTTATATTGACTGCTTAGGGTTTAAGGGGTTTCGTTTAAGGGCAGATTACATGGCCCCCTCAGTTATGAGACCTTAAATGAAGACCCCTTATATACCCCTCGAATACCCAAGGGCCCAGACTTCCGAACCCTTTAAAGAAGGTAAGGGAGACCATGTGAAGGGCCCATGTAACTACCCTAAACCCTAAACCCTAAACCCTACACCCTGAACCCTAAACCCTAAACCCTAAACCCTAAACCTATTTGCCCCTGAGAAGAAATGGGAGGCTGCACCTTTGGAGCCTGACGTCCTTTCGCAGGAGTGGGTGGAGGGGAGGGTTTAGGGTTTAGGGTTTAGGGTTTAGGGCTTAGGGCTTAGGGCTTAGGGGGGTGGAGGGGAGAGAGAACCCTAAACTCTGTAGGGAAAGCCTAAATGGGTCTAGGGTTTAGGGTTTAGGGTTTAGGGTTTGGGATAGTTATGTGGTCCCTTTCCCGGCTTATGACGTACGAATCCTATCTCGATCGTCTATTGCATTGCAACGCTGAAAGCGGCCTTTGGTGGGCAGAGGCAGCTGTGCGTGGCTTGGGACCCATCCTCCTAGGGAGGGAAAGAGATTCTTGTCGGTGCTGTCTACAGCAGCCAACTTGACAATGGGGGGTGGCTGCTGCCTCAAGAGATGCCGCCTGTCATGTTCTCAGATGTGTGCGATGATTTGATGCTTCTGGCCAGGCAGTCCAAGCTGAAACGAGCCACCGGCTACAACGAACCTTGGGTGCTAGATACGCAACCGCTCAACCTTTAGCCTTTGCTTTCTATATTTAGCAATGTTTATTAAATAAGAATGGAAGTCTCTAAGAATATAAAACAAGAGTTCACAATTATGGCCCCTTACCTTCTTCAAAGGGTTTAGAAGTATGGGCCTTGGGTTTTACAGTGTATAAAAGGGGGCATATAAGGGGTCCCTTTTAAGGGCCCACACTAAGGGAACGTGTAACTACCCTAGACGGGAGACCCTCAAACCCTATACCCTAAACCCGGTAGAATCCGTCGGGCTTTAAGGATTTAGGGATTAGGGTTTAGGGTTTAGGGTTTAATCCCTATAGACTCTAAGCCTTGAACCCCAAACCCTTCGTATTGGGATCTAGAATCTAGAGCTGCGGAGGCCCTTGCGGGCTTCAGGTGAAGAGAGCTTCGGGCCTGTAAGGGTTAGGAGGTTGGCAGGTAGGGGTTCAACTTGTGTTCAACCCTAACCCCTAAACCCTAAACCCTAAACCCCAAACCCTAAACCCTAAGCCCTAAACGCCAGGGAGTCCTAGGGCTTGTTTCGGGTTCCAGGGTTCAGTTCACTACATCCTACGAAGTCCTCGAGTCAAGCCGAAGCCCTGAACTCCAGGCCCTTGTAGGGTTTAGGGTTTAGGGTTTAGGGTTTCAGGGCTTATAGAAGTTGTATAGGGTCTGTGTCCGGGGTTTTTGGGCGGGTTTGACGAGATTTGGGCTTAGTTTTTGTGTTGGCTTTCTGGGCCGTTTAGGTGCATCTCGGAATCATTTGGTCTTCAGGGATTAAGGTTTTGGGTTTTCAGGTTTTCTAGGGTTACTAGGGTTTGTAGGGTTCTAGGGTTTGGGCTCTAGTTTGTCGGGCTTATGGCTTCTGGGGATTAGGGTTTCACTGTTAGCGTTTGGAGGGTTCCTAGGTCTTAGTGCGTCAGGGAGTTTTTGCTGTGTAGGTCTTGTAGGGCTCACAGGTTTATAAGGCTTAAATTCGGTCTCATAGGTTTATTGTTGGGGCATTTGTGTGTTTAGGGTTTCCTAAACCCTAAACCCTAAACCCTAATCCCTAAACCCTAAACCCTAAACCCTAAACCCTGAACGCCGGCCAGGATTGTCTACTTGGACACAGATACCCTGGTCACGGGCTCGCTGTGGCACCTTTTTCAGCTGCCCCATGGCACCGGAAGCCTTAAGCCCTGAAACCCTGAACCCGAAACCCTAAACCCTAGCCCTAAACCCTAAACCCTAAACCCTAAACCCTAAACCCTAAACCTTGAGTTTTCAACCTCAGAGCTCCGGGATGTTCTTGTGGTGTTAGGGAAACTCAGTTCTAAGCCTGAGCATCCTAAACCCTAGCCCTAAACCCTAGCCCTAAACCCTAAACCCTGCCCTGAAAGGCCTTCCCGAGGCCTCCCAAACCCACAACCCTAAACCCCAAAGCCCTAAACCCCAAAACCCTAAGCCCTCAACCCCCGACCCAAATTTTTCATCCAACACTTTCAGGCCGGACAGCGTTCACTTCGCGGCTTCCGGCTTCGGAATCTCGGCTGCCGTGGTTTCCTTTTTGCCAACCCCCCTGGGTTTAGGGTTTAGGGTGTTTGGTGTTTAGGGTTTAGGGTTTAGGGTTACTTGCCAAGCCCTGTCAGCGTTGTAGGGTTCATTCGGGAGGGGAGTTCAAGGTTTTTAAGGTTTACGGTTGAGGGTTCAGGGTATGTAACCCAAGGTTCCCTTCCCTAAACCCTAAACCCTAAACCCTAAACCCTAAACCCTAAACCCTATGGGGCCCTAGGTGCTTGCCCCGCCCATGAACACCCCTCAGGCTGCAGTGCTTGAGTTCAGGGAGGTCCCAATAATAAGGATGAAAGTATTTAGGGCATATCAAAACACATATTACAGCTAGTGTTTAGAGAAGTTGCACAGTACCCTATGCTCAAGCCCTAACCCCTAACCCTAAACCCTAAACCCTAAACCCGAAACCCTAAACCCTAAACCCTAAACCTCTCTGCCTTCCTACGCTCCCATGGCGATCATACATGGTGTACATGCTCGCGGGCTCTGAGTTTGTTAACGTCGTGCGCACTGCTGCCCTCCTCCCGATGCTTCTAAATTTAGAAGTAGGGGTTTAGGGTTTAGGGTTCTGGGTTTAGGGTTTAGGGTTTCGAGTCCTGCGGAATTTGGGGTTCACATTCGCTTGCAATTGATTCCGTTGTTGTTCACCATGGTTGATTCACTGACGATATTCTACATACGCCATACGCATGTTCGAAGCCATGGGTGCAATGAATGAATTTTAGCTGTTCAAATTTGTCGTCACTTCTATCTCCACTGGGTTTGCCTTAGCCCTAAACCTTATACCCTAAACCCTAAGCCTTAAGCCTTCAACCGAAACCCTGAAACCCTAAACCCCAAACCGTTGACTTCAGGTCTGGGGGCTTGTGGCATTTGCATTGATCATGGTTTTTTGGGGCGATATCCTAAATCTCAGCCACCCAGCCGCAAGGGTACGATTCCTAACCTGAAGACGACATGTTCAGTTCAAGTTAAGGTCCCTAAACCCTTGAACCCCTAAACCCCTAAACCGCTAAACCCTAACCCCTATTCAGGTGCAGATTGAAAGACAAGCCATCATTGCAGGGGTGACGTCTAAAGACATGTGAAGGGATGAGCAGCTGCCATCCACGGTATTCTTTTCGACGAGCTGCCCCAAACCTTTATCCCTCTAAGACCTCATGAGGGCTCCGAGACTTGCGGAGCTTTGAGCCTTCAAACCTTTTTGCCCTAAACCCTAAACCCTAAACCCTAAACCCTAAACCCCCAAAACTCCCTAAACCCTAAACCCTAAGCCCTGAACTTGGGGCTCAGGTCTGGACCACCAACTTCTGCGCCATCAGCGCCTGAACACGGGCGTTCTGGTGCTGTCACCCGACCAGGAGGCCAGATCGTAAGCGTTTAGGGTTTAGGGTTTAGGGTTTAGGGTTTTGGGTTTAGGGTTTGGGGTTTGGGGTTTGGGGTTTATAGGGGTTTAGGGGTTTAGGGTTCATAAGGGTTCAGAGCTTCGCAGGAAGAGAGAAAGTAAGGGTTATAGGGTTTAGGATTTAGGGTCCCTTTCGTGGGCTCCTACTTTCACTGCAGAGCCGTAATAGGGTTCCCAAGCAGAAGTAGGTTCTTGAACTACCCACATGCCCAAGCAGCATTCAGCGTGGAGGTTCATCATCGGATGTAGAATGCAGTCAATAGCAGTAAAGTGGAGGACAGCAGTTCTGGCTTAGGGTTTAGGGTTGTGGTTTAGGGTTTTAGGTTTTGGGTTTTGGGTTTAGGGTTTAGGGTTTAGGGTTCAGGGTTTAGGGTTTAGGGTCAGCATCGCAAAACTTCCTGCCCACAACGAATAAAACAATCAAAACAGTCGGCACCCGAGATTTGACAGGCTCAAACCCTTTGCAGCTGCTCCCTAAACCCTAAACCCTAAACCCGAAACCCTAAACCTCACTACTAAGAGAGGCAGGGCGCTCCACTCTCAGCCATGGCCTTCGTCCAACCCCGTCTGCCACCTTTGCCAAGGATTTCTCGGGGGTTTAGGGCTTAGGGTTTAGGGTTTAGGGTTTAGGGTTTAGGGTTTAGGGTTAGGGAGCCGTAGGGAGTAGTGGGGAGTATCACGGAAGCTTGGGTAGCCTAAACCCTAAACCCTAAACCCTAAACCCTAAACCCTAAACCCTAAACCCTAAACCCTAAACCCCTTGAAACCCCCCGCCCTTAAGAACCGTATGAGAGGACATTCATTGATGACAGACGTTCCTTCCAGAGCACCCTTCGCAGCTGCAGCAGCTTTGCTTGACACTTCACATGGGGGGCTGGGTAGGTAACCTGCAATTAACCTGTGTTTTTGTTATATATATATATATGTATTTTTATATTATGTTTCTATTACAAATTAACGGTTAACCGTTTCGGTTATATATATATATATATATATATACATTTATTTATTTACGCCTACTACAAAGAAAAGGCTAACCTTTTTGGGGCTAGGGTATTCAGCCCCTCAGTGTAGGGACCTGTGCAACTAGAAGAGGTCAGTCGCGTAGGGTTTAGGGTGTAGAGTTTGGGGTTTAGGGGTTAGGGTTTCGGGTTTAGGGTTTAGGGTTTAGGGTTTAGGGTTTAATGTAACCCAGAAAGTTTTAAGGAAGCTTCGCTGGCTACATGCCCTTCGACGCCAACTCCATTGACTCAATCCAAGACGCCGAAGCTGTCAGCGAAGGTGACGAGACGGTGCCTGTGGACGTGCATGGGCACCCTGGCTGGCTTGGTAGCCCAGTGGTGCTTTTGTTTCTTTTGGTTCAAGGCTCCCTTCGAAAGTAGCCAACCCCACAAAGGGTTTAGGGTTTAGGGCTTAGGGTTTAGGGTTTAGGGTTTAGCATAACATGGTTGCCCCCTGGTAACCACGTTTGTACAACAGTCGACTCGCGCGCCACCAGAGATCCGGATGTCCCCCAAAACCACCAAAGCGAGGACCGGGAGTAGGGTGTTTTGTTCTTTGTTTAGGGTTGGGGTTCCCTTAACTTCTAATCCCCTTAAACCCCCAAAAGGACACCCTTTCTGTTCCTGGGTTACTCCCGGGGCCCTAAACCCTAAACCCTAAACCCTAAAACAGCTTCGCATTTGGCGAAACCCGGCGGCCCAAATCGACGACAGCCTTGGGGACGAAGTGACCCCCAACAACAATTGGGGTCATATACCCTGACTACTAAAGTTCCTATTAAGGCTTGGTTGCCCAGTGGTACCCTTTACCCTTTGTTTGGTTCTGGTTTCCCTTATACAGTATCCAACCAAAAAACGGGGTGCCCTTATAATAATTGGGTTCTGGGCTGCTGAGCATAAACCCTGTTAGGGTTCAGTTAGTCCCCAAGGAGTTTCCAACCGACGACAGTTTTTTTTTGCATTTCGTGAACCCAGACGTCAAAAGGCATGGCACGACAGACGACAGTTACGCACGGCGCTAAGGCGGCAGTGCGATTTCCGATCGCAACTAACCAAACGGCCCACGTTTTAAGGTTGCGGAGCGATGTGAGCCCTAAACCCTAAACCCTAAACCCTAAACCCTAAACCCTAAACCCTAAACCCTAAACCCTAAACCCTAAACCGCCTAAACCCTAAACCCTAAACCCTAAACCCTAAACCCTAAACCCTAAACCTACGGGACCTGGGCCGAGCACCCGCCATGCAACACCAGAGAATGCGCACGGGGCCTAGGCAAGAGCGCGCTTCGACACCGTGCGCACGGATGGGGCTTAGGGGTTAGGGTTTAGGGTTTAGGGTTCAGGGTTTAGGGTTTAGGGCGCTTCAGCACCCCGCGAAAGCCGCATTATAGGTGTAGTTATAGCCCACATATACCAGCCCCTTAAGTAGTAGGGTTGTACTTGACAGTTATAACTGGGTTACTAAGTACCATGAACCTCCAAGAAACGTCCGCGTATCACGGGCGTTTCGCGGGCGCCGCGCGAGCAACTCAGTGAACCCCTCGTGTTGGCCATTGTTTGGGGTTCGGGTTTAGGGTTTAGGGTTTAGGGTGTAGGGTTTAGGGTTTAGGGTTTAGGGATTACGGTTTAGGGTTTAGGGTTCTTGGAGCGTTGTATAAGGTCCATCCTAATATAGGGGTCGTAAAAATTACTCATGTTATTCCCTGATGGTCCCTTTGTAATTATTCTACAATTCCCCCCCCCCCCCCCCAAAAAAAAAAAAAAAAAAACCTATTCTAGTTACTAAGGCCCCTCTAGAAACCCTAAACGCTTAACCCTAAACACTAAGCCAATCCCCTAAGGGTCCATGTACCTCATTATTACATACCTGGGCCCTGTATAGGAGGTACTTTAGGTACATGGACCCTTCGGAACCTAAAACCTAAACCCTAAGCCCTAAACCCTACCTAAACAACCCTAAACCCTAAACCCTAAACCCTAAACCCTGAACCCTGAACCCTGAACCCTAAACCCTAAACCCTAAACCCAAGCTTTGGGTTCTAACTCTGAAGGGCCCTATCTTAAGCAAGACAGGTCTGATGCGGAGTCGCCCGCGACGTGGCCGGACACCGACGACGAGGAAACATTGGCCTGGCTTGAGAATGAGGCGGGTTTGTGAAACACTAGAATAGGGTTCAGGGTTTAGGGTTTAGGGTTTAGGGTTTAGGGTTTAGGGTTTAGGGTTTAGGGTTTAGGGTTCAAGAGCTCCTGGTCGAGCAGTTTCTCGTTTAGGCTCTGTGTTTAGAACATCGAAAAATACCCACCCACCCGAAGTTCCCATAACATTAAGCAATAAAAAGTTTCTTCTTTTTATTAGGATGGTTCAATAACAAATTGAATGACTTCCACTTAACAAACGAGGAGGTGGAGATATTAAACCACGCGAGGCTGTGAGGTCTTGAAATCTTAAACTGAGGCTCAAACCTTGGAAAAATATTAAAAATGAAAAAACATTGTGAAAAAGGTCACGGAAAAGTCTTGAAAAACTTGAAAAAACACAAAAACCCAGAAAATGAGAGGCCACCCAGAACCCTCGATTTCAGTACTAAAAATTCGTATTTTCCTTGCGGGTCTAGGCCAAGCCTGAGGTCTCTATTTGGGGTGTTTTTTGACGCAAACTTTCCCTCTCAAGGGGGGGTCGGAGTTTGAGGCAAGGAGGGTCTCCAAAGACTATTTCGCCTTTAAAATCCAAAAATACGACCCCCCCTTGACCGAAATTAAGCTGTGAAAAGGTCGCGGGGGCAGCCCTTCCTCAGAAAAACCCGGAAAACACCCGAAGAAACATGGAAAAACCTTAAAAAACATTGAAAAACCTTGAAAAACCCTGAAAAACTTGAAAAAAACACGGCGTTGAGGCCTTGAAACCCTAAACACAGGCCTTGAGGCCTTGAAACCCTAAACGCTGGGCCCTGAAACCCTAAACACAGGCCCTGAGGGTCTGAGGCCTTGAAACCCTAAACACTGGGCCCTGAAACCCTAAACACAGGCCCTGAGGCCTTGAAACCCTAAACACAGGCCCTGAGGCCCTGAAACCCTAAACACAGGCCCTGAGGCCTTGAAACCCTAAACGCTGGGCCCTGAAACCCTAAACACAGGCCCTGAGGCCCTGAAACCCTAAACACAGGCCCTGAAGCCTTGAAACCCTAAACGCTGGGCCCTGAAACCCTAAACACAGGCCCTGAGGCCCTGAAACCCTAAACACAGGCCCTGAGGCCTTGAAACCCTAAACACAGGCCCTGACACCTTGAAACCCTAAACGCTCGGCCCTGAGGCCCTGAAACCCTAAACGCTGGGCCCTGAAACCCTTAAACACAGGCCCTGAGGCCCTGAAACCCTAAACCCTGAGGCCTTGAAACCCTAAACGCTGGGCCCTGAAACCCTAAACACAGGCCCTGAGGCCCTTGAAGTCTTGAAACCCTAAACGCTGGGCCCTGAAACCCTAAACACAGGCCCTGAGGCCCTGAAACCCTAAACACAGGCCCTGAGGCCTTGAAACCCTAAACGCTGGGCACTGAAACCCTAAACACAAGCCCTGAGGCCCTGAAACCCTAAACACAGGCCCTGAGGCCTTGAAACCCTAAACGCTGGGCCCTGAAACCCTAAACACAGGCCCTGAGGCCCTGAAACCCTAAACACAGGCCCTGAGGCCTTGAAACCCTTAACGCTGGGCCCTGAAACCCTAAACACAGGCCCTGAGGCCCTGAAACCCTAAACACAGGCCCTGAGGCCTTTTGGAAACCCTAAACACAGGCCCTGAGGCCTTTGAAACCC